TGGACACCAATGTTATGATTTACCCAACATTCTGCTACACTGAACATTCCCCTTTTGTTTCCAAATTTCACATTTACAGATAAGGTTTGCTTCCAAATTTGACACATGCCCTGAGCTTAAAAATCTAGAAGGGCTAGAACATGACATTTGTCTCATTTTTAGGCAACTTGAAAGTAGCAAATAGAACTTTGTTCACGGGAAGCCACTCTTTACTGTGTTCCTGGCATCTCTCTTATTTGGTGTAATCTGTTAAATGGGGTGGTGCCAGACTATTTAGGGTTCCATGCCGCACATTTTCTAAAAAATATGGCTTAAAACATTTAAATGTAATTAATAACAAGTTATAAATTCTTTATCAGCATAAATGACACTGATTTGAAATGTTGTTTGTATATCAGTGCATTCATATTTATTCTAAAATATTCTAACCTATTCTGGGTACTAAAGTAAACAAAGTTAACCTTGCTTTCAATTCAGTGTGGTCAACTTGTGATAAGGCCAATGGGAGACTTTTGAGACTTTTGGTCTCAATGCATCACAGGAGGGCGTGCTTCAATGGTCCCAGAAGTATAGCATTCGTATTTCATTGCCCTTGCTTGTTAGTAATCCCTACTCACTTAATAAATCTTCAAAAATATGCCGGGAAGTTGCTGCGCTGTGCCTTGCTTTGGCTGCCATGGAGGGCATGTTTTCCCAAAAGATAAGAAACAGTGGTATTACTGGAGAGGGGCCATCAGACGTGCCAAATTAAATCAAGACGACCATGGTACCCAATGCTAGCAGTGTTGCATGCAAGGAGCAGTTTGTAGAATCTGACTACGATGAAAAGTCTCTTCTAGGTAAGCTCCAAACCAGATTTATTGAGAAAACTTCCCCATTTTAAAGGAAAATTTGGCATGTAGAAGCTGTTTCAGTAGAAGCTGTTCCTAACCTACCAGTTTTAATGTAATAGTAAAGGGTACCTTCATTTTCCCCCCATTTTTACTTTTAATTGCAGGTTGCAAACTGAACAAGAAATTACTTAAGAAAATGGCTGTCCCAAGCCAGTTTCCATAAAGTAAAGTAGGGCTGTCTTCAGCAGCATCATCAAGAGAAAAAATACTAAAGAGTAGGAATGAGAAGAGAAGGCTTGACAAAGAAGAAGGTAAACAGGATCGGTGCAAGAAGAAACAACTGAGAATGATGTTCTTGAGCAAGATCTGAATTTGATTATGTAGGTTGACATTGAGAGTGAACCAGTCAATGAGGAGGTGCACATTCAAACTGATCCTCAACCAAGCCATTCCACCTGTACTTCTCTAACAAAGACAGACTGCATTCATCGGTTTACTATAGGTCAGCTTTTCTTGACTCTAATAAAATACTGAAGATATATACTAAATTTTGAACTGTTGTTTATTCAGAATAAGTGAGTCAGAAGTTTACTGTGTCCTTGTAACCTGGATGAAATTCACAAGTCTTCAGTCGAGAGAAGTGAATAAATGGCGTAGCAGAGTCCGTGTCAGGTATTATGCTCCTTCAGATTTTAAGAGGAAATTCCCTACTACATGGGGCTATCTGTGATGGATTTGAATCTCCTGTAAAGAAACCCATAGCCCCCATTGCACAGCAGTCAACCTTTCTACTTGCAACAATCAAAATATAGCAAAAGCAGTTGTAGGAGTGACCCAAGGGGGGACTTGTCAGCTATGTGTCTTGTGCCCATGGAGGTTCGATGAATGACTGACAAATAGTAAGGCACAGTGGACTAAACAAGGGAACAGATTCAGGAGACGCCATCCTGGTGGACAAGGGATTTGATATTCAGGACATTTTTGCACCAGTAGATGTCATCATAAACATCCCACTTTATTCAGGAAAAAGAATCGAATGTCAGGAAAGACTGTTATCAAGGATAGGAAAATCTTCAGCAAGCAAGTCCATGTTGAGAGAAGTATTGATTTTGGCAAAACATTCAAAATCTTGACCCAGCCCCTCAATCAGACAGAGATGATTTGGGCATCTGATGTAGCTTTGATTGTTTTATGTTTCTTATTTCCGAAAATGCAATAATTGTAGTGACTGTAGTGACTGGGCTCCAGTCCCCTGAACCTGGTAATAATAGTTGTGACTGGGCTTCAGTCCCTTGAACCTGGTAATAATTGTTGTGACTGGGCTTCAGTCCCTTGAACCTGGTAATAATTGTTGTGACTGGGATTCTGTCCCCTGAACCTGGTAATAATAGGACATTTCACTTCAACAATACCATCATTGTCAACAAGGCCATCTAGTGAACATGTCAGTTATGGGATGTCTGGACATCCATGGATTCCACAACTCTGCACCACATTTCCTGTCTTACTGCAGTAGGCCTTAAATACAGCAACAGATTTTTTACTTAGAGGCCATGATCTGTAGGTTTACTGGAAAACCCTGAGATAACAGTTAACCGCTTCGCGCTTAGTTATTAGGTATAAAGAAAACGAACCCAAAACCAGGTCCCCCCCCCGGCAGCAAGTGGTCAACCTTTGAAAATAACACCCGACAGGACCAGAATGAGAACAGCTTTGATCATAAAAAGACCCCCCAAAAAAAACAAACAAAAGGAGATGAAAACCCCATAGATGTTCTGTTTGCAACAGAACATCTATGAAATGAACTGTAGGTATTTGTTGGTATCCCTTTGCTACCATTCCATCTCTTTCTTGTATGCAGTAATTCAGTGGCCCCATGCTGTGCTCTAATATAAATAAATACTGCCACAATGGTACTGGGCATGAGATTTCAGCTCTCCTTTTTCTGCTACCTTGGGAGAAGTTCAAACGTTTGAACTTTATTTTCTGGTGAAACTGGAATTTCAGAGTTGGGGGACTCACAGGACATGTTGTTGAAAATCCCCAAATCAGGTTGCCTTTGAAAGTGAAGACAAATGTAAATGATAAGATCTTCCACTGAAGGCCTAATAAATGTAATTTTGCTGAGTATTACTAATTGTTTTCTTCTTACTACATTTAAGTCAAAACATGCAACATAAAGCAATTCAATTTTGTTTTATCAAAAGAAATATACATGTATTAAGAACAGATGTTAATGACTTAGAATAAAAGACAGAAGCTAACACAGTCTTTATTTTATAATATTAATGTGCACGTATCCAGTTACTTTGTGCTAACTGTCAGTGAGCTGTGAATGTGTGGGTGTATGGTGTAAGAAAAATTTTGCTTCAGCATTTGCTGCAAGGCAAAGATTGTAACTCAAAATAAATTCTCAAAAATAAAAAGTAACGACAGAGATTGGGTTTTGTGACTTGACTCACAGAAATCTTTGTTAAATATTTTGAAACCTACATGTACATGCATGACAATTTCAAACAGTTTTACATTGTTAATTCGGACAAACATGTATACGTATGCAATTGTAAGTCTGGTGCTTTATTCTTGCAATTACCAGTATCTCTCTCAGCAATCAATGTGACAATACTACATGCTGCATACATTGTGAATTCTTTTTGCTTGGACTCAATGCAAATGCCTTCTTACAGAAATACGGTCATGAACATGTAATTATCAGAGTGTATTGGGTACTGTAAACATTCATTGAGCTATTTGCCCTCAAAAGCCTAATGTTTTTCAAGTGAAAGTGAAGTGAATTGGACATCAGGAGACATTTGCAACCAAAGTCACTCAAGTTGCAGTCTTTGAACTTCTGAAAGTCTGATTATTTTATCGGACATGACAAGTTCATGTTCATTTTTTGCTTTCATGCTAAGTGTGATCTGGCCTTAAGGTGGTCACATTCACGGGGGGGACTTCATTTTTGAATGGGTGTTTGCAGCCAAATATATACCAAATGGTCACAGTATGGACAAATCTTTGATAGACCCCATCATGTTCATTATGGTATTGGAAACCACAGGACATTTGAGTTTTTACCTATTCTCAAAAGGAATTGTTTCCACCATATTTTAAGAGCTTTCTGTATCTTTGTTTACAGCTACATTGGTCGCAAAATAATGGAAAGGGACTATGAGAATTATGTTGATGGTTTCATGCACGTCGTCAAACCAAGCTACACATACTGGACTCTGAGCTACATGCTTACTTTTGATGGAGCCCAAAAGCTGTTATCACAAGAGCCCCTGGGAAAGATGATACCAGTTGATGAGTACATACCAATCATGTTTGATGTACATCCAGAGTAAGTGTTCTTTTAGTTCAAGAATACTTTACCAGAAAAGGTTGTTGAACATGCACTTACATGTAAAACCAGAGTACCTGAGCTCCGTTTTGAAGCAAAACAAGTTGCATAATTGAAGTCTGACATTGCATTATAAGCTGTTTAATAGTTGCCCATCCTTGTGCCAACAGGAATGACTGGGCTCATGCATTTCATCCGCGTGACCTCAAAGCATATTCGGTCAACCCACTTCTTGTGGAACCAACACACTACACTGGGGAAGAGAAATACATCAGTGATACAGAAACAAAGGACATTTGGGAGTATGTTTTGCAAAGAGAAGGAACTTCAGATAAAGCTGGTAAATCAATTTGTAATGCATTTCAAGATTTTGAAGTTGTTCTTCATAAATATCAACCAGTATCAGTTAAGTGGAGTCATTGCCATGCACATTCCCATTGTGGTCCAATAGCTGAAAGATAGCAGTATGAAACTGCTCTGTCTAGTTCTGGAATGAGATTTTATTTTCTTATTTACATGACTCACTGCTAAAGGGAAGAGTAGGTAAAAGATACATTATTCTCTGTGATTTCACACACTTGTGTTAATTGTACACTACATTGTATCTTTATGTGCAATGTTATTTTGACTGGGCAGGTTTTAGTAAGCAGCAAAAGGATGCCAGTGATGACCCAAAATCAAGCAAAGGAAGACTAGATTTAATGGAACAACATGAAGATGACAAGCACACAGGAAACAAGGTGTGGAATGATGGACAAAGGATGCATGGACATGGTACAATGCCGAGTGCTGATGACAGTTTAAATGGCACTCATGCTGTAGAACTCACTGCAAATAAGAAACTAGATTCTCAAGATAGTTCAGCTGAGTCATCTAATCCTGATGCTGAAAGGGACAGAGCTGCTTCTGAGGACATAAATACTCACACTGAGTTATGACATCAACCAACACAATATCCTCAATAACAAGATGATAGTTGAGACTATATTAGGCGCATTACACTCTCTTACTGAATGAACTTTCAACAGCTGGTGCGTCCCATTTCTTGTGTGGTCCAGTAGCTAAAAAACTTTCATTTTATAGATAGAAATTAATAGCATAAAATGCCTCTTTACCTGAAAACTTAATAGGACATGAACACAGGACAATAGGACATAAGATGGAAAATAGTCACAAATTTCAATATGACACATAGTGCGGGAAATATTAAAAATGACTTCAGTGCTGTGTCCATATGGTATGTTATACTCACAAGTTCAAAGGTTTTAATGAATACAATTCTTGGTTCTCTCCTCTCCTTTTTTTCAGTGGAACTGTGTCAGTAAAATTTGCGTTATGATTCTCAAAAGCATGCATTTTTTTAAAAGTAGTAGGTACCAAGTACATAAAGCTGTATGTAGCTTGTCTTAGATGAACCAAGGGTTGTTAAAGAATTAATAATTCCGGAGAGCATGGAGGTTCCAAACTGCTTTTATGTATGCAAGGAAATGATTTACAGGGTAGTCTATGTACATATATGAGGTAGTAATACTGTTAGCAAGTAAATTATAATTTGAGCTTTTAAGCTTTTCACGATGAAGTTGGCAAGTTAGTGAGAGAGGTTTGCAGTAGCACCATGCAAGGGTATCTCTTGTTGTCAGGCAATCTCCTGATGACGGACAGAGCATACAGTCCTAAACATTGAGTACCTCCTGGTTCTCTACAGAACCACACGTACTCCTAAGTTATAATCAGAGTTATAATACAAAATAAGAATAACATGTCTAGATTTCAAATTACACATATTTCAATTTTAACGTAACAGTTGTCACAATAAGGTTGCCATTGTGTTGATTTTTTTCCATTAATATGCCTCATGTAAGGTGTGATATATTGGCTAGGAATGGTGCTAATTTTCTTTTATGTCATCATAAATACCTCAGTTTACCCAGTCCAACAGTCGACAGACAGCCCTTCATGTGGGTGGTTTTAACAGATGGCAAAACTACCAACTGGCTTTAAACACTTTCCCAATTTCTATGAGGTTTTTACTAAAACCACTTGTATAATTTTATTTGTTGTGAGACAGGCATGCATATAAAATGGCCAATTAGTCCATATTTCACAGAGCCAAAAGATTACTACACCACCACTGCTGCACTCTTCATCTCATCATGCAGTGCCAACGAGTGAGTGCCAATTTCAGTACAAGGAGATTCAGCACTCGCATGCAAGAGGCACACATTGGTACCACAGGAGGGGTTTTATATTTTCCTGCATTAAATCGCATACCCAAAGTGGCAGCCAATCTGATGAGGTTGTTGAGATCAGCTGGCATTAATTTCTCATCTTCCCTATGAGGCAGTCATCAGCAAATCTTGTTTCACTCCTGACAACACATTAGATGTCATTTATGAAAAGAAGAAATGAATGTGGTCCCAACACAGTCCCCTGTGGTGCACCACTGAGAACAGCCTGTTGCTAAGAAACACAACAATCCACTGTTTGATTTTGCCCCTGATCAGTGATGCCATAACAATTGATCTTATGAAGACGTTTCTGATGCGGTATCATATTGAACACCTTTGAAAAAATCGAAAACTGCTATATCAGTGAATAAACCATTGTTGTGATTACAGGCTAGATCATGATAAGTTAAGATCAGTTGACTCTCACGAGAGCACCTTCTATGGTAAGCATGTTGATTCTCTGCTAGAATTTTGAACTGGTCAGCAATGTGCTCCAATAATTTGCAGCACACTGAGGTCAAAGACAACAATCTGTAATTCACTGGGTCCAATTTGATACCCTTCGTAAACTAGGGTTATATTGGTTTTCTGTTAGTTGCTCGCCTGTGTCCACAGATTGTTGGAAGGTGTGTGTGAGAAAGGGGGTGATCTGTTCTACTGCCAGTTGGAGAGTTCTGTTTGGTATTTCATCCAGCCCAACTGCTTTGGAGACATCCATTGAACTTATTGGGATCATTAGTAGCTGTCATGTTGTCCACATACATGTAAACCTGATGAGCTTTGCAGAGAGCACAATCCACATATCTGTGAATGGACTTAAATTTATCTCAATCAGATTATTGACTGAATTTTTGGCATGGACATAGTCTTTTTTTTTTTCAATTGAGACACAAAATGTGAGCGGACAACCATCGTGGCGTCACTTTCCTTTGAACAGTCTTCTGCGGCACTAATTCCTTGACAATGTTGTTTAAGCAATTCCTAAAAAAGGCCCAGTTTGATTCAATAGTACATGTTGGTCTGGGTCGTAAAAAAACATCTCTCAGTGCAGCTGTAGCCACTCCAAAATTTGCTTCGTCTGCACTTTTCCGCTTAACCCTAACAGTCCTCAATTCCTTCACCTGTTGGAGGACTGAGGACTGTTAGGGTTAAGGATACTTTTTGGTGGTTTTGAGGTGTAGACAGCCTTGATAGAGAAGTCAGCTAGGACCGTTTCATGATCACTCAATCCAGACACTGCATGAGTGTTTTAGTTGTGAACAAGTCAAGCTTATTCTCAATGCAGGTGGTTGGATCTTAACGGGTAGTAGAGCCAACCAACTGCTCTAGGTGATACTCGTTAGCAAAAGATATATTTCATGGTGGGTATCTCAATAATTTGAGATTGTAGGCAATTCTGTGGATAAGTTGTGTCATCTGGGCTCCAGAGTATATTGTTGAAATCCCCTTTTAAAATTATGAAGGGGGAGTTTAAATATTGGTATAGCCTACAGGCTAGACCAATCATCGGTGGAGATATGCACATGTTTGCCAAGTGGTGTGTAGTTGAATGCATCCAAGGAGATGCTTCATGGTCTGCATCAACTCCGGTGTTGAGGAGGCCATCAAAGAGATGCTGGTACATTTACCACTATACTAGGACACCAAGTAATATATCTTGCCATCAGTTATATCTGTAACTGGGATGCTTTATTTGGTTAGGTTTGTTTTTCATGTTTCAATGAGAATGTAATTTTGTTGCTCATATTGACAAAGGGTTTTTATTTTTAAATAACCCTTTTGCATATTAAATTTGAATCCAATCTGAGGCATTGGACTTGCGAGGTATCGTACTTATGAGGCTTCAGACTTATGGATTTTTCTTCAAATGCTTTTTTCGGACTTATGAGGCATCGGAATGATGAGGCATTAGACTTATAAGCTGACCCCGTTTTCAATGGATAAGAAGGGCATAAAGGAACTAGTTCATTCTAGAGATGGTGGTCACTATGTGAAAGCTTACCCCGAATCACAAGGTATGGCAACAGTGTCTTTAGTCAGGGGAATTTAGACATTGTGTATGTTCAAAAGAGCTTTACTTGTTGCAACCAAACAACTAAACACATGAAACCTGGTACTGCATGCAAATAAAAACTGGTCTACCTACTGTGTGCATTCCAAAGACATATTCACAGACATTTTTGGCAGAGTGTATTGCAAGATCAATTCAAGATTGAATAACCAATCCAAAGGACAAAATCAACTGTGAAAATGAATACATTTTGCTTTTCAGTATATTGGTATAGGTGTACTTCTTACACTGAATGTACAGCTTTGTTTGCCTATGTATACAGCTTACTTCGAGTAACTTACTTCCAGTTGTTGATGCATCAGATTGCTGAACTAATGGACACACAAATCCATGAGCCTATTTGAAGTGTAATGGACACAATAGGAGGGTGCTAGGTAAATTTTGAGCAAACCAATTAGCGCCCTTCCACTTTGTCCACCATACTTCAAAAAGGCTAATGTAAGCACAGAAAATGTATAGTTTTGTTATAGAGTGGGTTATTGACCTATATAAAGTAAGGAAAATAATCATCAGACACAAAAATAAATGTTTAGAAATGAACAGTTGAAAAAATAAATATACAAAAGGTATGAATTCAAATAACATTTATTCAACATTGATCGCAAACTGAAGATTTTTGGGGGTACATTTGGCTTTCGAGAGGAAATCAAACTGTCTTTCAAAAAAAGTATAGTTAAATGAATGGAACTGAAGAACGTGCAAGAATGAGCGAGCAAAGATGAAATTAACAGGGAATGTGATAGCTGATGAATAAGGCTTAAAGAGACAAATTGAAGTCATTCATTTATGAATTTGAACATGTGCAGGAAAACCTTTTTTCCCCTCTCATCTAAATACAACGCTACAAGGATCACCTTGGGAAGCCTAATTTACTACACTTCTCAAAGGAAATTCATGGTTGTATACTATTCATAATCCAAAACTCATAAAGGAGGAATTTTTTGCATGTTTTATTTAAAGAAGGGTTCATGATGTAACATATTAATCAAGTTTGTGGCTACTACATGTACTTCCATAATAGCTGGCTGAGGACACAGCGCACGGTTCTTAACTTTTGTTTCACAAGTCTTAGACCTATTACATGGGAGAGAAGCCTTTCAGTGGACACCATTGACAAAATGGCCGTTTCTATGAAATCAACTGATATTTGGATTATAAAGACTTCATGTTAAGTTTTCTAGGTAATAATTAAAAATACTTTCTAACAAGACAAAAACAAACTTTGATTATAATCAAACCTGATAAGCAGCTTTTATTTAATGTAAAGCTATTCTTCCTAAAGAGTAGACCTCTTAACTCTTTAGGAAGAATAGCTTTACATTTTCTTGACCTACATGTGACCGTGATGACCTACAGTATTTTTGACACAAATTTTATGAACATTGGATATGACGCAAAACAAAAGGGGACAAGTCACATTAGCCATGTTTCCCTTATGGTTGTATACTTATGCTGTTCCATTTCATGTGCATTTACATCAGCGACCTACAGGTAGTTCAGTTCCTAATCTTTACAAAACACCATTATTTAATATCCTTGTTCTCCCTGACTTCACACTATTTGGTAGGTAATTTGCATTACTCACTCTTATAAATTAAAGAATGTGTTCTAAATATAAAATCATGTCAGATATGACAGGGAGACAAAAACATGCTTGCAATATCTTGCTATGTCTGTACAGAGGACGAGGTACTACAGTGTACATTGTATATCTGGAAAAATGTTGACTTGCTCAAGTAATCGGTGTGCTTTAAGGAGTGAAATAAACTTCTGTAAGTTAGAAAGATATTTCTTGTACAATTCTCTGTGGATTGTGAGCAAAAAAGAGAGGTGTTTGTGACTTGTAAATGTCATCCCCTGAACCAACACAGTGCATTCACACACTTTCAAAGGCATGTGGTGTATAGCACCGTCTCCATGACAGCAAATACAATATAACCACATTTTCTCTTCATCTGAGAGTGCTCACATGAATTGAGTGGAACATCACTATACTATACCCAACATTTGGGTGTACTGAAAATCTCCCTAGGCTCCCGCATTTTCTCTGCTTTTTTATGGAACTTCACAATTTTGCTTTAAGAAACTTATTTATGACTGATAATGATAACTTGAAAGTTGACGAAACTCGTATTAACAATGGACACCAGGCCATCACAATGCACGGTCTGTACTATTCATGGGTAGCTTGTGTGTTGTACATTTGTGTGTAAACAGACACTTATGTATACCAACTACCAAGCACATGTATGCAACACTGGAGAGTTTATTGAGGAAAACATTGCATGATAATTGCTACAAAGCCAGGAGATTTTACTTAAAAACTTTACAAAAACAGAAACTAAATATGCAGATAGATCCCAGCATTCATTACATAACTCACAAACATCTTGGATAATAATGCGTGCTTAACTTTTTTTTACCAACTTTGGACTCTAGTACTACTCTATAAAACTGATTCCTGGTGTGGCCCAGTCTTATTAGATTCTGCCATTTTACCAGCAGGAATCAGTGTTACTGTTTTGTATGTAGCTTGTGATTCAGGAAAACTTGAGCACTGCACCACAAATTTTGTATGGATTCTCTTGTGTTTGTTATAGCAGCATTCCATAGCACATGGCATATTCTTCAAAATATAAACCAAAACACAACTCTGTGGGTCATTTTTCAAAACTTCTTAAACAATGACTTATGTCATAACCCAAAATTTACACCATCAAGGTTAGAAAAATTATCATTTGGGGATAATTTGGCAGACATTTGGTTTGCCTCACAGAGGGCCTGTTTGTTTCAATCAGTATTAATCCCATTCACTATGCAGGTTTTGGAGCCCATATACCATCGACAGAGCATTGATAGTGATCCAGATCCATTTGAAACAAACATGGCCTTAACGTTTTAAGTCAAAATGTTTGTATCACCGAGGTCAATGGCCAAAGCACAACCTAGCAATGTTGCTAGGACGTGTATACGTCACATAATCAAGCGACAATTATGTCCTTTCAAAGTTATTCTTAGATCATAGCTCTCAAATAAATTCAATCTCTTTATCGGTTTAAATTTAAACTAAAAATGGCAATGATTTCCTGGATTTACACTGCATTACTTGACTTACAAGCTCACTTCAAACCAAACCTCTTTCATAAACAAAAACAATTGAGTATATTTTTCAACAGATGTAATTTACAGGCCCTCAAAAGACTTTTAAAGACAAACGGATAAAGAAAATTGTGCAAAATTGGTGGAAAATTATTGACAAGATTTTCCTCTTCATTCCCTACTTGTTTCAAATCACTCTAACCATATCAGCATATTTGTCATACCTTACAGCCACTGAAATATGTAAGTTTTGGTTGCATCAAAAGCATACAAGTACATGTTCATTTTGAATGTCATATTTGATTGAATTTCAATTATGTTTGAAATTTGACGGAAAAATGCATGACGTTTGACATAATTGAAAACACTGCCGTGTAGCGCTTGAAATTCTCATGCATGTGTTTATTTTGCCATTCAAAACTCAGGTCACTTGACTTCAATCAAGAATCATAGTTAATGTCTTGAATGTAATTGTTTTTAGAATGTCAGTTGGTTTGAGAGATTTTCTCGACAAATCTTGGTGCGAAGAGAAAACTCCTAAAGCTCATGAATATCGAAAGAAAGAGGGCGCTCTATATGGCCAGATGTCAAAGGTCAAACAGTCCACAAGGCCGAAGTAACAAAATGTTCTGAAATGTCAGCCTAAAAAAAATTTATGGATGTTCAAAGTCATCGTCATTGGTATTTTGGACCAGGTTTCATGGAAATGTACTTGATCAAACTGTGATAGTTCAAGTCTTACATAATGATGATATGGGGCGCATTTTACTCATTGGTTTTTGTTGACATTTTCGAAGGAATCAAATAATGTTGGCAACTGCTGACTGCGGGATCCGATGATCTGTGAATTTCAGTTTTGTGATTATGGTGTAAATATTATCATCTAGCACCAATTACATGCTTGTTCAAAAGTTACAACAGAAACTATTACTTGCCATCAATTATAAGGTGTCTAGAAATATACAGGATGTTCATGTCCTTCAAAAATGCTAACATTCTGATCAAGATGAAAAATGGGCATGGCCATTAGAGTTCGGGATACCAGCCACGACTCCCCTCATTTCATCAGATATTGTAAATTAATTCAGTGTTAACTTCAGGCGATGAGAAACCATGAAATTCATTATTATCTAATGACTTATATCTGTAGACTTTGCCATATGGTGTTAATGTGAATGTTGTTGACTGGACAGTAATGGCATTTAAACAGTCTGGGCTCTCTGTCACCAGTCAGAGGATACACTGTACTCATGCAGTATGCCTATACCACAGCTAACATGGCGGAGGCATTCACACACAATGCATATGTATGCAGAGCCCCAACCATCTACATGTGCATGTAAGTTGTATGCCTGAAACAACTGTATACTGTGCATGTACATGTAGCAATCATTAGGACTGGTGAAGCACGTCCTTGAGAAGAAGCAGTATAGCATCATCACTGTCTACAGCCTTCATGGAAGGGGAGCAAGGATCTGAAATCATGCCAAGTAGGAGGGAGATTGTCTTGGAGGAATTGCCCACAGTGCCGACATGGGGTAGAGAACAGCTTTTGGTAACTGTGCAGCCACTTCTGGAAAAAAAAAAAAAATTCTTCCAGTGAACTCAACTGTACTGCAGTTGTACCTACACTGTGCATATACATGTACATTTTTAACTCTCAAAAGTGTAGATAATCCAGCCTTGTTTTGAAACAGTATACCAGGGTTTGGGGCATTGAGAGCGAGCGGATTACCACCGGGGACAAAAGCACTCCACCACCACAGCAATGAGCCACACAGCCCCGCTGCACGCTAATCTGGCCCCTATTGAAAAGAGTGCACTGAGCCAAGTTCGTGAACAAATGAAAGTTATATAACACCACACAATCTGGGATCTGTTTACAAGGCTGCAGGCCTGGCTGAAATACAGGGGCGTCAATGAAGGTCACCTGTCAACTTAGAGTAGTGCCTGAAGATTACTTCGTGCGGCTATAAACGACTGTTAAATGAAATGATGAATGAAGTGGTTAATTGCTTAAAAAACCTTCTGTTTCAACAATGTTACCTTCATATTTTTTCTTTTGTTTTTGCTGAGCAAAAAATCAGTTAAGAGTCATCTACATGTAAATACAGGGGTGTGAATGGCCACTTAAAATTGAAGCTGAAAACAGCTAGCAAAAAGCTGAAATTTAAAAAGTTCTCTTACTTTTTACGGACCAGGCGTAAAAACAGCTGAATTCAGAGTCAACATTTACACAAAAAAAGCTGACACCAGCTGAAAAGCTGAATTCTCACACCCTTTTAAATATTAATTTATTACATTTCTACCAGTATTTATGGTGTTTGAAGAGTACATTTTTTAAAAGAAATCTTTCGTTCCTTGAGTATGCCAATTGTGTCTTTAATTACTTTGCTTTTTTTTCATTCCTTAATTCTGTAAAGCTACCTTTATGCCGTGTAATCTCATACATGTAAGTTACAGCATCACATTTTTCAAATCCCAAACAGTCCAAGTTGTTCACGTTTGCAGCAAAATTTTTTGTCAAGATCAAATGTTTTCCCATTTCATTGTAATACATTTTTCCCCCAAATGATTCAAAGGTTCTCTTAGCAGTTTCTTCTTCTGAATCATCATTCATGGTCTTTAGCTTTATCAATGTTGAGTCTTTTACTTTATTTTCTACATACTGTACATTAGGCTTGGGCGAATCCATGCTGGAATCAGATAGAATCGAATTCAAATTAGGAATCGGAGTTGCGATTTACTTTTTTGAGGAATCGAATCCATGCCACCACCAATTCCATAACCTTGAGATCCGATTCCAGGAACAGTCCAGCGATTCCAAAAGACTGCTGTCTAAAATGATTGATCGATTTTTGAAGAAATGTGTGGTTTTATGCCAAATCAAGGAACCTAAACTGCATGGCTTTATTTTTGTTGCCAAAAATTGAAGTCCATGACGAGACGTGGCCTACATGCTTTGCAGAATCATAGCAGCACCATGCAGTAATCTGACCCATTTGTCTGCAACACACCAATGGCCCACTGCATGCCAACTGTGACTCTTTAACATGCTCAGCATTTGGGTGGTATATTGTGAGCGATGAAAACTACATCAGAGATTCAGAGTTTTTCCCACACACCATGAAATTTCTTGTCGCTGATTACCCTCTATTTCGTATTGGAAACTCAATTGTAACATCTGAAGGATCGACATCAATTAGAAACTCATTCCTTGGAGTGTTTATTTCTTCCAAAAAAATTTTCCGCTAGTCTAGACCGACATCACATTTCAATCTTAAAGATCGAAGCAAACTATGGTGGATAAGGTAGACTTAGTTCATCACATGTTACAAACATTTCATTTTTTCACTTCAAGATAAAATTCATTATTCTCAGCAACAGGCACACATTATGCATGCCGGTTTCCAGCTTGTAGCCATGAGCAGCCTGTTCTAAATATAGAGGCAATGACCGGTGACAGTGTTGAGCACGCTAAGCACACCCAACCCCCCCCCATGTCAGGAATGCAAGACAAAAAGAAAACATATTGCGAATATGTGGGTCACTCCTGAAATTCTTACATGAAACACAAGATTGCCCTCTGATACGGCCGCCAAAATCACTCCAGTATAGCTCTTCCTTGCCGCTACATGTAAATCAAAATTCTCCAGGAAATATTAAGGATTTAATGGCTATTTCGCGATAGCAGTTGGTATCAAGCAATATCCACAGATTTTTCTGGGGGCACTGCAGCAAGTCTGCTTGATATACATGTAGTTGTTTTCCAACTGCCATTCCGGCATTTTGGCCTCGTAAGGACAGTGGTTCTGTTGAGTACATTAGAGGAATAATTATCTGTCCTGCTTGCCGGCAGGGCTAGCCTGAGGAATTTTATGTTCCACAATGCCACACCAGAGGCAGCAGAATAAGGCTCGGCAGCAGTCATCTCCGCCTTACGTTGCAGAGCGTCGCCGCAGGCCTGGACACCCCCGAGCTGTGAGGTCCTTTGCATCACTCGCAGCCATTGAGGCAGTCAATGCCACTGTCATGCACGATTCATCGGGCAACTACGGAGTCATCTCAAATCTCGTCCAGGATAAGTTGAGGATAAACTGTGGAAGAGTGTTGCGGTGGAATGTTGAAGGCTAATGGAAATTTCCCCACAATCTCCCCAAAATAAAGCTATCAGTATATGTATACACAGTCTCCGTCCCCCCACTCTGCGGTTTTGGTCAGGCAGGCCACTCAAGGACACTTGTGGTTTTGATGACACACACTCCTTACTCAGAGCTTTTTGAAACTTCTCTAACTGTATCATTTGGAATAAATATACATCAACCCTTTCATAAAATATACAACAGCGGCTCAGAATTGACCATGACAGTTGAGCAAGGGAAAATTGTTTTGCAGCTGCGCAACCCCGCAAGCTGGATTTGATTGACAAATGGTCCAGTGCTTTTCATGTATTAATGGCTATATACTCAACGCGATACCCCAGCCGCTTCCTGAAATTGCTAAAATATGCAGAAATAATTTGCATGGCCGCTGTGCAATTCCCTGGCCTAGGCTGGCACAATTATGATGAGCAATTCTGCCTGCGTATGGAAGCGAACCCATCCCGTTCATGGGCTACCATGGACATGGAACAGTGTGTTACTATTAGCAGCTGGCAGTTTGTTACCTGCGGTTAATACTTTTGCGCATATGGCTGACGGGGCCGCTCGTAACAACTAGACTAAGCACATCTGCTTTGCGTTTAATTCCACTTTGGGCTGCCGGTGAAATCCCTGCCGTTATGTCCACTGTTGCAGTCGGTGCAGAAGGCTGCAGGGTCGTGTCGAACGGGCGTGCAGCCTGCCGCGCAAGGAAGCACCAAGGTCAAGCATTCGTTCCCTCCCATTAGCGATACGTACACGCGCTACACCAAGACTCTGTCTGCAGCATTGGGTGCGCGGTGGGCATTCTGGCTGGCGATAACCAGCAATGCGGGGCCATAGATTAGGACTAGCACAAATATTGGCAATCCACAGCCGACCGCTCCTACCCAGAACCTGTAGGCAAATTTCTGTGCTTCCAACGCCCATTAACCACTACCAGCCGGGGACTCCGAAATCGGAGCCGTATGGTTTATATGTGTGGCCGGGGTCTCTGAACTTGGACAAAGGAAACAGGGCCCTGTAACAAAAGACCGTACTCCGAACAAAAGACAAAGCTGCTGGGCATGACCGGCATTTTTCACTCTCAAAAGTGGTGATAATCCAGCGTTATTTTGAAACCGTACACCAGGGTTTGGGGTATTTAGAGCAAGCGGATTACAACGGGGGACAAAAGCTCTCCACCAACGCA